GAAAGCCACTGCGGCAACTGTGTGTGAGAACGGCAGTGAGGCCCACATGCCTGGAAGTCTTCTCGGTAATACATCACGTTGTCTGAAAGGAGATGCACTGCGGCTGCGTGATGTGGCTACTATTGATATTCATTCAATCATTGGAGATATCTGTGCAAATGTGAAGTGTGAGGGTGGGAAAGTGAGTGTACAGTATAAAGGGGATGATCATTGGTATGAATGCAAGGAGGGCAGTAGTATTTCACCCTCTGTTACTTCAGCCTTTAGTAGTGGCCGCATTGTGTGTTCTCCATACAGTGAGGTCTGCATGGATCTACCAATAGAACCACCACCAACAGAGGCAGTAGTAATGGAGGAGGAGGTATACAATGTTACTGCATCCATTAATGAATAGTTGAGAGAAGTAAATGTTTAATAGAGAATGTTTGCGATGATGGGTAATGTTGTGGACACCCTTAACAGATAACTGAATATATAATACTCTAATTCACTATTGTTTCTTTTCTGTATACATTTGTTTGCTTTCTTTTTTCTTAATGTTTGCGATCCAACACCCCATAGTAGTGTCTGAAGTAGTTGGAGATGATAGTACTCATTCCCCATGTTCAATCCTATACTTTTTCTTTTGAGTAGTAGTCATTATTATTATTTGTGTGGTTCATTTGTGTTGTCTTTTCACTGTATGTTGTACTGAAGAGGATGAATTGATAATAATTAACTGAACGGTGATTATCATATATTGTTATTAATTATTTATCCTTTTTTTATTTGCATATTATTATTCTCTATACGCAGTATGAATATAACTGTAGGATTTGTCTTTTTATTTCCTTTTTCATCACTATCCGCTATGTAAAGTTTATGTGTACTTTTTAATAATGATCTCTATTCCCCATATGTACTCACCTGTTGTTTTTTCTTCTCTTCTTATTTCCTTCCTGTCAATTGAAGAACCATATGGACTGATAGTGAAGATGCCAAGGATGGCGTATATGATACGTCTGCTTTTCTATTCTAACTATGATATGATTGTTGGTGAAGGGCATGAATAGTGAAAAGAGTGAAACACTGATACTGCAACGCTTTACATGGATACGGAGTGGATAAAAGAAATGGAAAAGGAAGAAGAAATGAAAGTTAATAGTGCTGCAATTACTTTGTTACGACTAAGCTCTTAATGGGCAGTACTCTGTGTGTGTATATATGAGTTATGCCACCAGTCAGTAGTAATATAGTTAGTTACTGAAGCCACTTGCTTTCTATCACTGTATGGTACTAACTACAGTAGTGCTGTCCAACTAACAATCCCCAAACCAGAGTTCCTCACCATGCAGTAACACGATAATGATGTGTTTATAGATGACACTAATAGGTATCGTTATTATTATTATTCTATCTTCATCTACTCTTTCATAACGGAAAATACCTTACTTTCTGTGTCTAGGGTGCTCATACGATGAAACTTCAAGTAACTATTTGGATTTTATTCTTTGTTACACTGCACCATGTAGTGTTAGAATCAGATTAAAAAACAAGTAGACAATAATGATCACATTTGTTCTTGATTAATACTTATAAGTGGATACGTGATTTGAATTTTAATAATAAACCTTCCTGTTTATCTTTGCCATTCTAGCAACTAATATTATTAATAATAAATTGTTGCTCTCTGTTTCTTCTCTTTCATAACATGACGCATCATAAATGAAAGAATACAGCTACACAATCACTATGCGCACAACTCTTCTATTATTAACTTTGCTACTGATACTCTCCTGTATCTGTACATGTGCAGCAGCAGAGAGGATGCCACTGCCGGTGCCACGTGTGGGTGGATACGCTACAGAGGCTAGGGGAGCGGGACCACGGGGTGAAGATCAAAAAGGAAAACAACCTGCGGCTCAACCTACAGATCCACACTATTTGGGTAAAGGTGAATACACTACCACCACACCATCCCTCAGTATGAGTGAGTCCATGAGTGCCTCTGCCACTCTTCCTCTCACTGACACCACTACTGTTGCCCCACCAGCAGGAGATCAACAGACTACAGGAACAACAGAGGGACAGGCCGCCACTACTGAGGAGTCGAGTACGACGAGCACCGCCGCACCGAAGAAGAAGAAGAAGGACGGCGGCCGCGGCCCTGAGTGGCTGCACGGCCCGCTGGTGCTGCTCGCCGCCCTCACCGCCGCAGCGCTGTGCTGAGTCCCGCCCCCTCTGCCAGTGCGGCACTGTAATGATATTCCCCTCTTTTTGCTGGCGACGGCACCCACCACATCACATCCCTCTACTTTGCTACTCTGTGTGTGTTTGTATTTCTGTGATTGTGTGGTTGTGGTTGTGTGTGCACGTCCTGCCCTCCATGGACCTGATGCCACTGCTCTGTATTGCAATCACCTCGTCAAGGTGGATGGGTTCTTGATATTAACACTCATTGTGTGAAACTGGGCTAATAACATTATTGCTTTTTTTCTTTCTTTGCTTTATGGTGCCCCCATCCACTGCTGCTGGGGTGGAGTGGACAGACATATTGTAGTAGTGATGGTAGTGTTTGGTGGCACCTCTGTGTGATTTGGCCTCGGATTGGGGCATTTTCTTTTTAGCTCGAGACTCAAATCTCGGGTGTAATCTCTTTTTAAACATGAACATTAAGATCTTTTTTTTTTTTTTGCTTTGCTTAATAATGGTTTAAGGATAATGACGGCAGTATTCATTGTTTTTTATTTGTGCTTTTCAGATGTTGGTGTGGAATGTGTGTGCTGAATGTTAATACCGTCTTTCCTCTTAAGGAGGGAGCGCTGTGAGGTAAGCTGAGTGGGTTTGTTCTTTTTGGTGCCTTATTATACTGCACTTCTCTCTGTTATTAAGCATCGGTACCTATGGTACTGTTGTGTGTGGATTCACTGATTGGGATTTGTTAATAATGTTCTTTTTTTAACATGAATGGTGTATTTGGCAGGTTAAAGAGATGTGTTCCTATGAGGTATAATGAGTGTGGTAAGGCTTTGTGTTGTTACATCTGTGTTTACCTTTTTGCTCTTTGTGTTTCCTATTCCTTAGTTTATGATGGACTAGTGTAGTATGATAATAGTAATAACAATGATGCCCTGTATGCTATGTGTGTGTGTCTGCGTTGTTGGCTCTAATAACGCCACACTTGTGCAGCAGACATAGCAGGGATAAGGGGTTGTTCTAGTCCCATGTGTGTGTATGCACATACTCGATGTGGGTAAGGAAGGGAAGAGGGACAGCTGCCAATCTACAGTGTAAGGTGTACTGTACATGATGTGTTTATTCATTCACTCTAATGGAGTGAATGCTTGCCATTACTGTGAAATGGAATGGGAATTATTTTTCAGTGAATATATATGGAATGCTAATTGGTATTCTTGATGTACGTCACTAGTAGTAGTGCACTCATTAATAGCCCAACCAGTCAGAGTACTCTGGATAGCAACAGTAATGGCAACATAGTGTATTTCTTAGTGGGTAGTTAATGGATTATGTTGTGGATTCTTATTTTGTTACTGTTAGTTATTTCTCAATGTTGGACAATGGTAATTGTGCTATATTCTCTGATTGTTGTTGAGGATGAGATGATGATGTACTTTGTGTTGGTATTCTGTGTTTGGCAGTATATTGATCATCTATGATGATGATAGTGTATTACTATTATTTATTTACTTGTTCCAATCACGGTGTGAATTGCTGAATACGTGAGAGTATGTGGTATTAAGAACTCTTTATGTTGTCCAACCCTTTGATGTAAATCATAAAGAATGATAGAGGCAGAATAAATAAAGAAAATAATCAGAGAAAACTAATACATAGAACGGTACAATAACAAAGTAATGAAGAAGTTGTTGGAAATGATAATATCTGTGATGTTGTTCTTGCTGCTCTTCCTGCACTGTGTCTGTGGCCTTGCAGCCTTCCGTGATGGTAGTTGCACGTACGATACTACTGTGTGGAAGAACATGAGGAATAAAACTGATTATACACCTTTGTATGTTTCTATTGTACGGGAATTATCTCAAAGTGGTAAGAGTACTGTTTCACTCTACACAACGACAACAGCAACTACTACTAGTACTACTACTACTACTTCTACTACTACAGTAAAAAGTGAAGAGGAGGATTGGATGCCTATTCGCATTCATGTCTCTTCTGAGGAGTTAGATAGAGTGATGAGGCGTTGCAGTAGTGGAATGACTGATTCTTCCCATAGACACTCTCCATCATGCCGTGATGGAAATGTACTCACACCTCAGAAACGAGACATTCTGTTGAATGAACTCCTTCCAGCAGCTATTGCACTGCACAGTGAGCGTCTTCT